AAAGTCCGAGAGAGACAGCGAGAGAGAGTTCAAAAGAGCCAACCGGTCACAATTTCCGTCAGGGTGTCCGTATCCTCAACACGCACAAAGAGACAGGCACAGAGAGGGAGAAAAACACCCACACATGCAGACAAGTGATTGTCGCGAAGTTGATGTCCAATATCCAAACGGCAAGCGGGGTACGAGTAACCCCTCAACGCAGTTCAATTCCTCGTCGGAAGTAATACATTTCTTCAACACCGATCATCACCCCCACCGCCGCCGCCGCCGCCGCCGCTCCAACTTGATACAAATCACTTCCCCATGTGACGGGAAAAAAACAGGTCGCGAATATCACTCCTGTCCGCTGATCGATCAGACGCCTCTTCGCGGTCCACACGGTCCCGCCACCGACGCCCGACAGCAGCAGCAGCAGCAGCAGCAGCAGCAGCAGCATCCCGTCGTCGTTCTCCATCGCCGGCAGCGGTGACCTCTTCTGCCGCAACCGCCGCCGCTAATCGCCGCCGCTCCTCAAACGCCGCCTCATTGGCCACCGCCTCTAGTGCTTCCCATAGCGGCGGCGGCGGCGGCGGCGGTGGTGGTGGCGGTATTGGCGGAGGTACGAAATACTCAGCCTCCGGTAGATTCGAAGCAACCCCGAACGGTAGCCGCAGGGCGGGGGCAGGGCGGCCCTCTTCTCGGGCAGACAGCAGGGGGAGGTGGGGAGCATCCCCTTCTAGAAGTGTTGGCGAGCGGCATGGCGGCGGCGGCGATGCCAGGGCGACCGGAGGTCGGGATAGGTGAGTCGTTTTTCTTTTTTTGTGCGGCAGCTTCGTCAAATAAAGCTGACTCTCAAGACCTTTGTAGGATTCACGTGTGATAGACATCGGGGAGGCAAGAGAGGGGCCCCGCGCATCATGTCCATCGTACCCTTGAGGTCCCGTGGGTCAGTACTCCGCCGAGAACCCCAAACATCAGTCAGTCAGCCGATCTGATTCTAGGATGTGTGGGGGGGTCGGGTTGGTTTAGTTTGGCGCGTGGTCTGGCTCTCGACATGTTCTGCCTAGGGGTATATTCTTGGTGCTGGTGCGTTTTGTGTTTGCCTGTTTTTCGTCGTCGGCTGGTTGTTTTTTTTGGTTGTTTCTTGCCTGGCACAGCCACACGACACCACTCTGGTCGCAGATGTCGTGTGCCTCCGTCTGTTTCGCTCTCCATCTGTCTATTTGTCTGTCTGTCTGTCTTTGTGTGTCTCTCTCTCTCTCTCTCTCTCTCTCTCTCTCTCTCTCTCTCTCTCTCTCTTTCTCTCTCTCGCCTTTTCTATCTCTCCCCCTTGCCCTCCACCTATCTCTGTCCTTTTCTCTCCATCTCTCTCGCTACCCTTGAAATCTTCCCGGCTCTCTCTTCGTCCGTCTCGCAACCCAGCAGCCCTCGAACATTACGACAACCGAGGAAGGTCTCCGCTTCTCCCAAAAACTACGGTCGCCACCGCCACCCCGCAGAGGGGGCCCCGGCGATTGTTGACAGTCCCGGGGGAGGTACCCCCGGTAGTGGGAGGGGCGGCAGCCGAGCCGGCGCAGGGGGCTTCCTAAGACTAGTCAGGTGAGCCTCTCAAAGTAGTCCCCCTCACAACGCTCCCCCGTACACCGGAGATAAGACCACCCCCTTCTCGGGGGGGTTACAAAACGCTTGTTGTGAGGAGATCCATAGTACAAGCCATGAGGTAGCTCTCACCTATGTATGTCTTGCAGGTCACCATGGAGCAAGCATTCCCCGATCACCCATGCCTCTCAGATCACCTCTCACACAAGCCAACACACCCTTATTTTCCTTATTTTGTCCTTAAATCAACCCCCCCCCCCTCTTCATCGCAAAAACATCTCACGGCGCAGGCACTCCGGCATTTCCTCCGCCGCGACTACGTCCATACCACCCCGCCACTTGAAATAACTTGTGCTGACCCCCCCCCCCCTCATATTCAACGCCGCAGGGACTCCGGCAATTCCTCCGCCGCGACTTTGTCGACGTCTGGCCGAGGCGAGGAGGACGTTGCCGGCGGGGGGTGGAGGCGGCGCCGGCGCCGGCGAGATCGGTGGGACGACGACGGGGACGGGGACGGGGACGGGGACGGGGACGGGGACGGGGACGGTGACCGCGACTCCGGGGTAGAGCAGGGGCTGCACCGGCGGGAAGAGGAAGAAGGGTGGCAACACCGGGAAGAAGGTCGTGGTGCTGGCGACGACGGGCATCGGCGCAAGGAGGATGAAGAGGAAGCAGTGACAAGGCCTACTCGGGGGGGCGGGACTGTTGTCAGAAAGGGAGGAGGAAGGGCAGGGGCGGGATGGGGGGGGCTCGCGAGCAGCTCCGGGGCGGGGGTGGGGGTGGGGGGGGGCTCGTGCTCCTCGTCCATGAGGTCTTCGGCGGCGTCGTCGGCGACGCGGCTGCTTCGGAGGGTGGAGCTCAGGACGCCTGCTGAGGAGGAGGAGGCAGAGGCTGTCCGGAAGGTAATTTTGGGCAGTCGAGAGCCGGGGGCACTCGCATCATATTTTTGGGCGATTGCATGTGGTAAGTCTTTTGTTATCAAGTTGCGATGTGTATGTGTGTAATGAGGAATAAAGGTGGGGGCGAATTTGCGAGAGTGGGAGGAACTCACGACGTATGTACACGCATATGTAGTCGGGCGATTGTTTGTGATTTTTTTTTTATCAAGTGTTGTGATGTGTAGAGAGGCTTGGGGGCTGCATGTGTCGTGGCAGCGGAAGACAACACCCGCACAAGATTACGATTGCTGCTGTGTACTTGAACAGATTCCCTCGGTTATTCCACAACCACCACCACCATCACCAAGAGCACGTTTGATCGTGAACAAAACGTTTACAACAGGAAGTGCTTTCAGATGAAAAAAATAAATCTTTTCAGCGGTAACCCCCGCGCCTTCCCCCTAAATCCGATCCCCATGACCGGTCCCGGTCCCCCCCCCCCCCCCCGCAAAATGCCTCCCCGTCGCCACGCCAGTCGCAGGAGCTGACCTCGTCGTACAACGCGCCTGTACGAGAAAGCAAGAGCGCTGCTAGCCCCAGAAACTACCGGCACGTGAGCGGCAGTGGCGGTGCTCTGGTCGGACGAATGAGAGGAGGAAACGACCCTGACCATCATTACCCCGGGGTGGCCGCGGGAGGGGTCCGAGCAACCGAAAGGACGGGGCAAGAAGAAGGGCGGCGGCGCGCCTTCTTTTCGGCGTCGTCGTCGTCTTCGATACAACAACAGCAGGAAGAGCCCAGATTACCCGGTGCTGCTAGCGACGCCCTAGCAGGCGGCGGCGGCCAAGACCCCCCGGAGCCGCCGAGCTTCGCCGCCGTCGACGGCGGCGGCGGCGGCGACGGCGAGATGGAAGCCGGGCGGGAGATTTCCGACATCGACCGGCGTCTCGGCGAGCTGCACGAGTTTCTCAAGAGGGCTAAGGAGGGAGGAGGTGTAGGGGCGGCGCTTCCCCTGCCCTTGCCGCCGCCCCCACCGTCGGAGGTTGGTGCGGAGGCGGCAACGGAGGCGTCCGCCTCTTCCGCGGCTGTCTGAGGAGGGAGGGGGTGGGTATGCTCATGAGTGCCGTAGATAGTCGTTAGACCGTTGACCTCCTCGTCTCCCTACAAAGCCGGGACGGAGCAATATATGTCAGGTTCTCACCGGGCCCAGGCTATCGCCAAGCGCAAAGCGCCGTGATGCATATTCGGCGAGTCGCGTCGAGGGTGCGCTGCATCCTGCGAGGGGTGGGTGTCGGTCATCTTGTGCTCAATTCCCTTGCGTAGGAGGGTCTGCGGTGCCCCCACCTTTCGGTGCGGCGGGCGCTACGATACAAGGTAGGGTGCCGTCAGAACTGAGAACACCGCCGTGAAATTATTAATAACGTTAACATTTGAGCTTAATTACACGAGCGACGAGTCAAACCGCCTCCCACCGTGTGCAGCAAGGGCGGGGGGGGCGTGGTATCGTGTCGAATCGCACAGAGTTGTGGCGGTGATGTGCAGGGTGGTGATCCACAGTGAGTGATGTTATGGTTTATGAACGGACAGCAGATAAAAAAATAGCAACAAACATTATTTTTGTGCGCATGCGACGGTGTGTGTGTAGAGTGGGGTGCGTCCCAAAAGAGCGTGCGTGGAGGCACTGTTGGAAGTGAAAGGGGTGTGTGTTCTCGCTTCGGGCTCCTACGTAAGTAATGAGGGAACGCCACATCAATGGTAGGTTAGGTGGTAATTTTTTCGTTGATGCAGGACATTACAATCCACACAACAGCCGATCTTCGTGCTTTTTTTTTTTGCCTGTATGCATACGCCTATTTTGTCTATTCCGCCGCACGACATTTTTACCTGGATTATTAGCGTGTGACCTGCTTCAGAGGGTGAAAAAAAAAACGCTTTTCTTTGGGCTCGAGGTCCGGAAGAGGAAGGACTAGGAAGAGGCCGTCCTTTTTGAGTTTGAGTGCGTGAAGACAACGGCAACAAAGTCAGGACCCGAGGCCAGGATTGTCAACGGTACCTCATTAACAACCGCGCGAGCGGCCGAGTGGCAGAGCTCTCTCTCTCTATCTCTCTGCCTGGCCTCACATAAACATAGCAGTTTCGTCCACCATCGCAGGTACCTTCGAAAGCTCTTCGCTCGACGCATGCACGGCAGTAGTAGTAGTAGTGCCGTGGGTGGTGGTGGTGTTTGCAAAACAAACCGCTTGCTGTGCATACAACCCGCCCCCGTCAAAAAAGGTTTTTGACGCAGCGGCAGCATGCGGCTCGAAAAAGAGAGCAAGCAATTGACGTGCTCAACAGACAGAAGAGTAGTCTTGAGCCATCCCACTTCATGAGTTTGTCTTCGCTCGCCGCGCCACAGGCAGCTTTGCCAAGAAAAACTACTTCTTAGCGAGCGCCGATCGGGTCTGGAGGAAAAACCTCCGACCGGCCGGTGTCGTAGGTTCTCCACCTCGTGCTCATGTTTTTCTGTTTATTTTTGATTCTTTTAATACCCCAAAATAGTGGTCGGTGGTCGGGGCGCGAGACTCGCCGGGCAGTCCAAGGACTTCTTCCGGGCTTTAATTGGTCAGTCAGGCGCGCGACACAACACGGACTAAAATACAAGGAATTCGACTGACACCAAACAAACAACTGAATAACTTGGCTGCGGTGATGCTGACGCGCCCGGAGTCCTCACTTTTTCCCTTAACAACAGCAGTGAGGGTGACTACAACTGCTGCTGCTGGCTTCCCTTCTTCATGCCCGTCCCACGAGTGGTTCGCTCGACGCACAGCAGTCGAGATGATGCAACGTTTTTAAAATCCGAAACAATTACTACCTTAATTACTGTAAAAAAAAACAAAAATACCCCGAAACTTGACAAGGAAACATGCACCGTACCCGGCAAAAACCCTCGCTACTTGTCAAAAGACATAAACAAATTGATTGGAAGCAACAGCAGCAGAACGTTGCGGTCCCTGCCTCCACCCACCAGACAAGAACACTTCAATAAATCTAGTCGAATAGTCCGATAATGATATACCATGGTACTGTACTACAGCAGTATCGTACCTCCTCTTGGAGGAGGGAAACGCCTGCCAAAACTCTCTGTAGCGGTGAGCAGCTAGCTACTGCTACCATCCTTCGCAAGCACGCGAAATCTGTGCCACAACACAAAACGCTCCTCTGCAGCGGCAAAACCACTGTGGCTTGACTACCAAAAAAAACGTGGACGCCCCTAAGGAAGAAGCAGGCAGCAGGCCCGGCACTAAATAAATAGTGCCGCCGCTGCCATTTTCCAGGGAGGTCTTCGGCGGTGTCGTTGCCCGCTATTGTAGCTCTCTGCATCTCCGCATCTACATCTCCGTTGGCCAAAAGCACAAGTGAGGATAACAACAGCAAGAGCTAGCTGCCAGCGCTTCCTCGACCGAAGCCGGAAAAACAAAATAACAGCAACACCGCATGACTTGAGTGTTTCCCCCCCCCCCCAAAAAAAGGACACGATTCGTCCAAAGGTATGTGCAGGTGTCGGAAAAGAGAGGGACGACCAACGCGAGAGAGAGTCAACACACGATCAAAGGGCGCGACGATGACGTTGCTTACCACGCGTCGCGGGCAAAGTCGCACGGCACGAAGACAACAGGACACAGGAAAAAATGACCCCCGCCCCTTGCCTTGCCTGACAACACCATCAACAAATAAAAGAGGACCACCTCAAGACAGAGCGCGGTTGGAACAGCCACAAACTGACGGATGTACGTCCATTCAACGTGGACGAAATTACACGAAAAACAGAGGAAAGGAACACCCAGCGACGGAAACGGACGTAGGTCAAACCACACACACCGGCACGGAGGAGTGTTCCTGGTAGCTAAGGACAAAGACCCTCCCTCTCGCTATCTCTTCTTAACTCGCAGATAAAAAGAAGTAACTAATTTTCAAGACAATCTTCAGCTTTGGCGAAAGGCCCAAGGGCCAATCGGTCATAACCCAGACAGGGCTTCAAAATAAAACTACCGCTTGCTGCTGAGGAGCCAACCTGTCCCCCCCCCCCCCCCTAGCCCGAATTTACACGACTTGTACACAACTACATCGACACATGCGGGTGTACGTTGCTTGCTTTTGTCATCGGCGCCCTCCTTCAAAGCCGCTAGCTACAACCCCACAAACTTGAACAATGCCGCCCACGCCGTGCTCCGAACGTAGCACAACACACACACACGAAAACACAAGCAGGACGAGGGCACTAACCTCGCGAAATCCCCCATCAAAATTGAACAAAAAAATAACCATACGAGGACGACGAGGTTAACACCGAACACAGAGGGCAGGCACGAAAACACACACGAAAGAATTAAAAAAAACTTGGGCAATCAACACTGTCTGCACCAAACCAGCCATCAATCAGGCAGTCTATACATGAGACAAATACTTATATTTTCACTCACGGTCTGCGAAACGACCATCGACAACAAACGAATGCGGCCAACCAGCAGCACCAGCAGCACCAGCAGCGTGCGCTATAGCTCCCCCCCCCCCGTCTCCCCTCCCCCAATCTTGGTCAAGGCGAACTCAACGTCAGAACCAAAAACTAATACGAGAGCGAGAGAAAAAAAGAAAAAGAAGTGATGAGACCAAATGCCTCATAAACCTGCACCTCAACACCACCACCCAGCGAACGAGAAAACGACCAACGAACAACCGAAGACACGAGGACGACACATGCGCACGGGCGGGCCAGACACAACAGATAAAGGTTCACCAAACAGGCCGCACGTCTCGTACAGGCTCGAAAAAGCACAAGGACTCTACGGCGCCGTTTTAGAAGCGTGAACGTGAAACAGATGGAAAGAAAGGCGTTTCCAGTTTTCTCCCCCCGGGCAAATAACCGCGCGACCTCCTCAAGCAAGCCAACCTTGCCGTGCACTATTTTTCCTTACCCTTGTCCTGGTCATTCCCCTGACCTCCACATGGGTGAGAACGGAGTGCCATTGTGGGCACAGCTCCCAAGAGAGCGTGCGTCTCACTGTGTCTCATCTCCCCGGGGGCGCCGTATCCGCGCCGAAAAGAACCTAATCCCCCTTGAACGGACCAACCGTAGCCCCCCCTCAAAGTGTGCGTTTCGTTCTTGTCAAGGACTGTGACTGGAGTTCGTTCTTTTTGTTCAAGGGGTTCTCTGTTTCCTTTTTCCACTTTAGCACACCGGTGTACGGTTCGACTCAGCCGTGAAGCACGAGTTCGTGATGTCGTCCAACTCTCCGCTGGCCGCGTCTCCCGTGTTGTCCACCACGTGCGTGTTGTCGGAATTCAAGAACCTAACGGCAGCAGCAGCAGCACAGCAGCAGCGATCGGGGGTCGGAACGTAATAAGTTTCCGGCAAAGAGGAGACAAACCAATACCCTCGTTACGGGTGAAGTTCACCGCGGTGCGGACCTAATTCATACCATAAATGTTTTTTGTTTTTTTTTTCCGCCGTTTTTTTTTTTTCCTATTAGTGTGAATCAAGGCAAGGACGAATTTTTGGCATGGTTGGGTCTTTGGTCTATGGTTGCTTACACGAAGTGGGCCCCGTTGTCGTTGCCCGAGAAGGCGTTTCCCGAGATGACGGTGCCGTCAGAGTCCTCGATGTCCACCGTAGTCTTCACCAGGTGG